TTAGCACATTTGTAACAACAGACATTGCTATCCAGTAGAAATATAGGACTGATGTTACCTAACAAGCTTAACTGTTAAGACTAAGATCCTTTGTGTTTGTGAAATAGGAATTTAATAGATACAAAAAAATATTAAGGGTAAGATGTTACACCAAGTTCTATTAGTTTGTTTTGATCAAATATGTTGAGATGAAGGCTCTGCTTAGATTTTAGGGATCTATGCGTTACTCCCATCATGCTGTTAACGTGCTGTGGTTCTGCTTCTTTTAATTTGTCTCACAGCCGGGGAGGAAACTGCCGCGGTTCCCTGCAGCGTCCGACTGCCTGTCAGATGTGGAGCCGGACACCAGGGAGCTGGTCAGAGCTCAAAACAAGAAGAAGAAGAAATCTGGAGGCTTTCAGTCCATGGGTAAGCGCTGAAAGAGTGAGCTGAAAGAAAGTCTGATGCACCGTTATCCCACTGGCGACATTGTTTGACTACATGATGTGTGATTTCAGGTCTCAGTTACCCCGTTTATAAAGGCGTCATGAAGAAGGGTTACAAAGTCCCGACCCCCATCCAGAGAAAGGTGAGTTAGTGTCACTTCAGGATCCTGTAATCAAGCATTTGTGACTTTGATGTGGGTTAATTCTCAATCCTTTTCTTCACCGCTTCAGACTATCCCGGTGATTTTGGATGGAAAAGATATCGTAGCCATGGCCAGGACGGGCAGCGGAAAGACGGCTGCCTTCTTGGTGCCCATGTTTGAGAAGCTTAAGGCCCCTCAAGCTCAGACAGGAGCCAGGGCCCTCATCCTGACCCCCACCAGAGAGTTGGCCCTGCAGACCATGAAGTTCACAAAAGAGGTCAGTTGACTCTGTTGTGTTTGTGGAGAAAAGAATCTCTGATTTTGGCTGCCACTAAATATTTTTCCTCTTTTTGTATGGTAGCTGGGAAAATTCACTGGCCTCAAGACCGCCTTGATCCTTGGTGGAGACAGGTGAGTGACTCCTCACGTCTTGTTATTGGTTCCTACTTATTCTCAGACATCAGAGTTGTGTTTTACCTCTAGAATCTGTGTAAATATCTCTTCTCTTTACCAGAATGGAAGATCAGTTCGCTGCTCTTCACGAAAACCCCGACATGTGAGTGTTTCATTGCGTTGCTCCATGAAAAGTGTCGTTTCTTCCCTTCCATGTCCTGTATTATGTTAAAATCCTGACCTCTTCTTTTTCAGAATCATCGGTACTCCCGGTCGTCTCATGCACGTCGTCAAGGAGATGAACCTGAAGTTAAACAACGTGGAGTACGTGGTGTTTGATGAGGCTGACAGGTGAGAAACAGCATTTGAAGGTGTCCTATTTCCAATTCACGACTAGAATTTGCTCGTACAAGTGCGTGAGCTTCTACGTGTTTTCCCTCCGCTCAGATTGTTTGAAATGGGTTTCGCTGAGCAGCTTCAGGAGATCATCCGGAGGCTTCCCGACATCAGACAGACTCTGCTGTTCTCTGCTACTCTCCCCAAACTGTTGGTGGAGTTTGCAAGAGCTGGTGAGATGAACAGTCTTTTTTAAAAAAAAAACTAAATCTGTTTAATGTCGGTTCTGTTTTGCATGTGTGCATCTATCATGATTGAGGATGTTTTTGAAATGGCCGTGTTTGACATCAGTGAATCTCAACTGATGGTCCACAAGACAAATCAAGCCACCGATCAGGAGCCAGTTGACTGTTTACTAATGCACACTGAAAATGATTTAATTCATAATTTTCGCTTTATTACAATGTAAATGATTAATATTATCTGTTGGCTGTTAGTTAATTTGCAGTTAGAGTTTCAGACCTTTAAATGTTTATTCATTTCATCTGATGAATATTATTATTTATTTACCTACTTGCCCCTGGACTCCTGTCATGGTGCAAGTTGAGCGTCTCATCTTCATTTTGAATCCTTTAAATTCTAAAGGAATCTAAATGCATTTGCTCTTAACCATTGTCATGGTGATTTTGATCCTGGTGTTTAAGTTCCTGGTTGACTATGTAAATAAACTTTATTTCCAGGGCTGACAGAGCCGGTGCTGATCCGTTTGGATGTGGATTCTAAGCTCAGTGACCAAATTAAGGTAACCTGGTTTATCATACATGAACAAGACAGCAGTAATTGCTGCTCATTCTGAATCGGTAAATAAAAATAATTCTGTTTTTATGAGAGAAAAATGTGCTTATTCTGACATTATGATTGTATATTCTTGTAAATTTTGTTGACTTTTCTTTCTATATTATATTATCTATATTTTTTTAAATCTTATTTTGCTTTATTTTACCCTCATTTTCTACCTCACCCTAATAATCTGTGTTGTCTTTTTGCTTTTGTTTACCCCCTTTGTTGAATGTTCATGCTGCTGTAACAACTGAACGTCCCTCTGGGGATTAGTAAAGTCAGTCTAACACAAACTGACATGTTTAAGATGCACTTCATAAGAACTGAATATAATAACATCTAGCAGCAGTGTGTGTGTTAGTGACTTTAGAGATGTGTGTTATTTATGACTGGAAAAAGGAAATGTAAGGTTTTTCTGTTAAAATAACTCACCATGGGGCATTTACTGGCATTTAAACTGATTTCAAATTTGCTAACATGTCAGACTCTCCTGCTGATGCCTTCAGGTGCTCTGTATTTATGCAAAATGTGTGAGACAATTGTTAGTGAAGCTTATTGCGTATTTTTTTATTCACAAACTGTTTACAACGTGTGTCTAACCCTTTTAACATGTTTCTTCCATCAGCTGTCGTTCTTCCACCTTCGTATGGACGACAAGCCGGCGCTGCTGCTCCACCTCCTGAGGAACGTGGTGAAGCCTCAGGAGCAGACGGTGGTCTTTGCTGCCACCAAACACCACGTAGAGTACCTCAAAGAGGTAACATGACAACACCAGAATAACTCAGCTTTGTCTTTATTTTACTCCCACATTCTAAATTCAGTTATTAAAGATTTTTTTTCAAACCTGAACCTTGATTTCAAGTTAATGTCTTCTGTTTCGATCTGCAGCTGCTGACTTTAGAGGGTTTAGAGTGCGCCTACATCTACAGCGCCCTCGATCAGACTGCCAGGAAGATCAACATCGGCAAGTTTGTGCATCGGAAAGCCATGGTGCTGATTGTGACCGACGTTGCTGCTCGTGGTATAGACATCCCTCTGCTGGACAACGTCATCAACTACAACTTCCCCTCCAAAGCCAAACTCTTCCTGCACAGAGTCGGTGAGTAGCTCAGAGTTAATGTTTCCCTTTTTTTTCCCCCTCTGATAAAACCGACATGACAAATTCTAATTACTTAAACCATCACCTGTCTTCTCCCATCAGGTCGTGTGGGACGTGCTGGTCGCAGTGGAACAGCCTACAGCATGATCTGTCCAGATGAGATGCCTTTTGTCTACGACCTGCATCTCTTCCTCGGAAGGCCTTTGCAGCTGGCGACACCTGAGCACGCACAAGGTTAGCTTTGCAGAATGCCTGTCTGGAGTTACGTACTACACATCTGCAAATAAACTTTATTCATCACCGTGTTCATCCTCCCTCTCTGCTGCGACTGTCTTCTATCGCTCCAGATGCAGGTGGCGTGTTCGGTCGTGTCCCTCAGAGCATCTTAGACGATGAAAGTTCTCATCTGATCACGACTTACGACAACTCCCTGGACCTGCAAAACCTGCATCGGGTCTCAGAGAACGCCTACAAGCAGTACCTCAAGTCCCGACCGAACCCCTCGCCGGAGTCCATCAGACGGGTCAAAAACACGGATCTGTCCAGCATGGCTGTCCATCCGTTGCTCGGTAGGTTAGGAGGAAGCTATAAACAGCTGTGATGATGCTCAGATAGTAGTTAACAACAGCATCTGATTGATGTTGTTTCAGGGTCTGGTTTGGAGAAAATGGAACTGGAGCGCCTTCAAATAGTTGATGCCATCAAGGGCTACAAATCCAAAGCGGTGAGTTAGATGCTGATCTCATCTCATTTTCCTGTTAAACTGTGATAAAACATTTTAAAAGTCTCCTTTCGTCTTCATGCAGACTATCTTCGAAATCAACTCTAGCAGTAAAACATCAGCCAGCGAGGTGATGCGAGCCAAACGCTCCAAAGACACACGATTAGTGGACAAATACAGCAAACACAGGGAGGACGTGGCTGCAGAAAGCAGACTGCATCAGCCTGTTATCACCACCAACGCTGATGACCGCGACTCCACAGACCAGGAGGAGGACGATCTCACGGTAATCAACTCAGATGTATTAAATATGGAAGTCTCTTTCTTAATCAGACCGTTGTGTGGTGCAATGAGGATGTAGCACAGATACCAAATCTCTGGTGAGGTTGTGTTTTATTTCAACAAGGGCGCTGCACATCTGGGTTTTTTAGTTAATCGTAGTTCATTCATTGAAAATAAATAAAACCTACAACTTTCAAAATAGGAAGTGAAGATCATTTTAATTTGTTTTCTGAAGTAATTTCTTTAAAATGTTTCAGAAAATAGAGAAAAAATACAGTTTTCAGAAGCCAAGTAAGATGTTTTCACACATAGATGTCTTGTTTGGTCTTCAGTTTATTGTCTCATAAGATAAAGAATAGCAGCAAATCCTCACAATTGGGACACTAAAACAAGTCAGTGTTTTTGAATTTTTGCTTAGCATAAACAATAGATATTTACAAAAGTCTTCAACTGACAAAATCTCAGTTTCACATAGTGTCTGAAAATCACTCCATCACAATTTTGATTTGTGCAAATATAGTCAAAAAAGCACTATTTAAATATGAAGCAAAAACAAAAATTTGAAAAAGAATAAAACTCATTGAATCAAAAAAAAAAAACAAGCAAACAAAAAAACGTCATCTCCAAACAAAAACTTTCTCATTCACTGTTGGTCTTTTAGTTTCGCTTTTAGTTCCCCTTCCTGACTTTTTCTTTGCACTGCAGGTTTTTCAGGAGTGGGCTTCCATTGGTTAATGAGTTTTGAGTGGCAGCTTGATGTTCTGGATGTTTTCAGTGCCACACAGAGGCAGTGTGCTGTGTGAGACATCCTGCAGCTTTTAGATTTCTTTCTGAGCCATGAGGAAGTTTTGTTTGATCACATTGGCACAAATCTGATTTGATATACTAGAGGTTATTAAACATGTTATTCAAATCGCTGCATCAGATTTATTTTGTTTTTCAAGCCTACAGTGACAGACAATAACAAAACAACATCTTATCACTTTTAAGCAAATCACATTCAAGTTTAAGACAGTCAAGTTGGAATAATAGCGTCATGTGCCTGCATCAGTTTCGTCAGTTTGACCTCTGACCTCCTGATCTCACCACAAATGTCACGTCTCTTGTGGTTGGGCAGCGGTTCATTGTTAAAGTTAGTTCATATCTGCTTCTCACTCCGACATGAGCTTCCATTTACACTAATTGTAGAAATTACACACTGGAGAAAATGACACACGTTCTGGATCTGCGATTTAGGAGCTGATAGCCAATTCTCTGGTGTAACGTTAATACGTGACCTCGACAGCAACGAGGCACAGCAGTTAGCGTCGCCATGACAACGCTGTCAACGATGGGGAAACGAGCCACATTAAAACCACGTTCGACCGAGGACACGATCGCTGTGAATACTCTCTGGGTGCAATATAACTAACAGTTTATTGATCAGTTGAAAATTTATTTCAAAATACAAAAGGTTGCACTTCATAAAATATTCAGAACAGAAATCAGTTCGCTGTATAAACACCTCGAAAGTTCCTCAGTGGAACAAAAGTGTCATGTCCATGGCATGCACTCTGCTTCCTGCTGGCAACACCCAATGAAAGCAAATGACATTGAAAACCCACAATATCGAGACATAAAATAAATAGTTACGACTAATACCCACAGATAAGAATGAGCCAGACAATAGAGGTGTGATTAAAGCGAGGATGCTGGGTTTTACTGCCTGAGATCTCCAGACGAGGACGTCCACAGCTGAGGGGCTGAACGGCAAAGTCGACATGTTGATATCCTCCAGCAGGGACCTGCTACCAGTGCCAGGCAGTAATAAGGCTCACAGGGAGTTAGCGCACTGATATAGAAGGCTGTTCAAGACTTTAAAAACAAGCAGTAAGATCTTAAAATGAATTCTGGAGGTAGCTCTTGAAGGTCAGTTGTGATAATTTGGTCTCTTCTGTTGGTGCGTCTTTAAAGTCTGGTGGCAGCATTTTGAATAAACTGCAGCATTTGGATGTTTTGGTTGCTGATATCTGAATAAAGTGCATTAATATAGTCAAATCTGGAAGGAATGAAAGCTTGGATGAGCTTTTTTTGAAGTTCACAGCAGAAATGACCTGATTGAGGGGACCCAGAGTGGAGAGGAGATTTTTCATGTTCCCAGCATTGGTGGTCTCATCATCCAGCTGCAGGAAATTCTTGGATATCCAGTCTTTTATTTCAGCAAAGCAGGACATAATATAAAAGACCTCACTTGTACCAGATTTCAATGGAACACACAATTGGTGTCAGTGCATCATAAGCTACAGGGGTAGCATGTGTACAGAGAAAAAGAAGGGACCCATAATAGACCCCTGGGGGACCCCGTTGAAAAGAGCAGCGCAAGAAGATGAGGAATCTCTAAGCAACAGTTAGGAGATGAACCAGTCCAGAGCCACATCACCATCGTCCTCCACCGTATTAATGGCTGAGCTGAAGTCGGGGGAGAATTAAACACAGTGCAGTCCGGTGGTAAAGTAAGCAGTAAATCATTGTTTATTTTGCCCAATGCAGTCCCCGTACGGTAAAGAGAGCAGAAAGCAGATTCTTTTCAGTGATCTGATTGTTGTTCATAAAGGAAACCAGCTGAATGGAGACAATATATTTTGGTTTAAAATTACTAAAAACCGAGGGCTTAGGAGGGCATCTTTAAAAAAGGGTGAACGGTGGCATGTTTGAAATAGGAGGGGAAGATACCATCGTATGTCATGTTTAATCATATAAAGAGCAGAGAGCGGGTGAGCGACACAGATTGATCTTCTGGGCTACTTCTTGGCCAGATAGCAAATAAGTGTGTTTCTGTTGCTTAAAGTCAGATTTTATATTTCAATTTCAATTCTTAAACAACAAGACTGCACAGTTGTGAAGATTGTTTGCTTGAATGTCGAAGCAGAGCATCACTTTTTTACTTTACAACTCTAAGCTATGTGTTCCAAATTGTGGGATTAAAACCTTTGGCAAGGCAGCTTTTAGCAGTTATGCAGACTGTCTGAGGACCAGAAAACAGCTGGAAGTGTTGAAATCTTTAAACATACGTTGAAAACTTAGCGCTTCAGTCTGTCTTTGGGATAAGCATGGTTTATTTTATTAATTTCTTTTCTTATTTTTTATATTGTAATTGTGTTTTATTCGGTGTCTATGTATTTTTATTTATTTTATTAAGTTTTTTTCACTTAGTGTTAGTGCTTTTAACCTTTTCTTTAAATAATTTTTTATCTTTAAGCTTTGACTTTTAAGATAATTGTGTGGAGATTTTCTTTCATATTTTCTTTTGTATTTTTTTTTTATCCATCCCTTTTGTTGTTATTGTATTTTATACTTCATCTGCCCTAATTTTTGTGTATCATTCATCTGTGAAGCGCTTTGAAATGCACTATGTCTGATAGATATTATATGTTAACTATTGTAGAAAATCTTCATTTCATAAAGAGCACGTCTCAGTTTCTGACATGTAATCCTTAATGTGTCCACCAGGGGGTGTTCTCAGAGGTGGTGGGTGGTAAAAGAAGAGGCCCGCAGCAAGACGGAGAAGAACGTCCAAAGAACAAGAAAAGCAGGCAAACGGGCAAAGATGACGAGTACTACATCCCTTACAGGCCCAAAGACTTCAACTCTGAGAGAGGGTGAGACATCAAACGTTGATATTTAAAAAAAAAAAAAAAAGCTAATAATTGAATCCTACATATGAAGTGAAAGTCTGTGTGTTTTAACCGATGATGTTTTGTTCTGCGGGTCGTTAGGTTGAGTCTCGGTGGGGAGGGCACTGCTTTCGAACAGCAGGCCTCCTCGGCTGTCCTCGACCTCATGGGAGACGAGGGAGACCGGTTTAACCAGCACAAAAAAATTATGAAATGGTGAGAATTTCAATTCATTCACTCACTCTTCTGACTCTGTATGTGTCTGATTTTGCCATTTCTTACCATAACTTAACGTCTTTTTTTGTCATTTGAAGGGACCGTAAGAGGAAGCGTTTCGTGAGAGAGTCAGGAAAAGAGGACCAGAAGAAGAAGATCAGAACAGACGGCGGTCAGGTCATCAGCAACAACAAGAACAGGAAGAACTTGTATCCTTCCAACAACGATGTCTTTTTGTTTGCTTGTTTGCTTCTGTTTTCTCTGACAACGTTTAGCTGCATTGTTGAGATGTTGCATCACTTAACGACATGACAGCTATGAGGAGTGGAAGAAAAAATACAAGATTGACGATGGAGGATCTGGTTCAGATGGAGAAATGGGAGGAGGAGGAGGAGGAGGGAGGAGACCAGCAGGAGGTAGGACAGCATCCGTAGTCTCGGCTTTAACAGTCAAACCTGGAAAAGTGGCAACGCACAAGTAAAATCACTTGAGGAAACCACAAAATATGATATTTAATTATCCTGATTTTAAGCAGAAATTCACTTTTTCACTTTCTGGTGCGACGTTGAACATCGACAACACTCTCATGGGTTATTCCATCTCAAGTCATCAGGGACCTTCTGCATCTCTTTATTTGCATAAAACTTGTTTACCATAAGCTATGGGTGTTTAAAATGGTATCTGTCAAATTTTAGATCGATATACAAAAGTAGGTTCTGTGATACAGTTGTTTTTTTCTTTAAATTGCTGTTCAACACTTTCAGCTTGTTTATTTGCACGTTGTGGTTTTATGTTTTTATGACAATATCTCAGGAACTATTGAAGATAAAAGCCTTGAAAATTGTAACTGTTCTTGTCATCGTACCATTGATTCAGAATCTGCAGGTCGAGTAGTTTCTGATGATGTGTAAGCTGAAAAATGGAAAAAGAAAGAAAGCAGTCATGTGTGCCACGTTTGAGCTCACGTTAACAAAAACGTCAAAAAGTGATCATTTCTGAAACCTATGTACTTGCAGGTCCCAATAATACAAAACTAAACATAGAATTTTTTATATTTCGCTTTAAAAAATGTGAGGTATGGGTAGTTTTTGACCGATTAAAAAGTGTTGAATATTGAAGTACTTTCTATATGAAATTTTCAGCCAAATCAGGGATACTCGAGCAGAAATGGTTCTAAAAAAAAGTGATGATTTGGGATGAAATGACGCATATGTGTGGTAGTTAGTTAGTTTAGCCCAAAGTGGTAGCCACAAGGTAACAAAACCCACCTTCTTTCGGATTTCGCCTGGTCAGAGCGGACCGGAGCTGGAGGGAGAGTGGTAGGGAGGAAGGCTGGGGACTCGCCATGTATGTGAATGAGAGATGGTGTGATGCTGGTATGTTAAAGAGCAGCGCTGCACGAAAGATGTTGAACTGCTGGTGATTAGTTTGCAGCTGTTTTACCTGCCGAGGGAGTTTTTGCACGTCCTGGCGGTTGCAGTTTACATCCCCTCCTCGGCTGATGCTGCTGCAGCCTGTGAGCTCATCCATAGTTCAGTGTCCCAGCTGCTAACATCACACCCTCAGTCTCTGATCAGCATCTCAGGAGACTTTAATCATCCATCGCTCTCTACCATCTCCCCACATTCAGCCAGTATGTGGACTGCCCAACCGGAGACGGTGGGGACTTGGACCTGCTGTGTGCAGACACCAGGATGCATATTACTTAATTATTATTTTCTTGTACTTCTCAGTACTTAAAGTCGCTGTTTCCATCGCAAATCTGTCCTGTATCACTGTCGATCCCCTATACTCACTTTCTGCGTCCTGCCTTCCAGGTCGTGGCCGTGGTCGCGGTCGACGCCCTGCAGCGCCGCAGGAGACGCCCGGCGGCCGCAGAATACGCTCAGAGCTGAAAACTAACCAACAGATCCTGATGCAGCGCAAGAAACAGCAGAAACACCAGTTCCTGCAGAGCGGAGGGCTGAAGAAACTCCGCACTAAGAACAGAAAGTGGCTGGGAGAGGTGAAGAAGTCAGGGTTTGGACGAGGCGGCGGAAAGAAGGGCAAGATGAAGAAGAGGATGTGAGGAGGACACTGAGGGGCGCCGTGTGGGAATGGATGAGGAGTGTTTGTCATTTAAAGAGTTTCATGATGCCTCGTTTGTTTGCGGATTCAAGGAGAAGGTGGGTTGAAGAAAACATTTCTCGACTGACTGCAGAGATGAACTTCACGTTTTCCCATTGTCGCCTGTTGAACTCTACATTTGTAGCAGAGTACGTTAAAGAATCATCCACTAAACTGAGTTTTCTTCTTGGCAGTTTAATCCAAGTGTTTTTGAAATGTGTCTATTCCAATTATGAACAGAAAACAAAATACACATGTGAATAAGACGATGTTCTGTTTCCTGTCTTCCTTTGCAGTTGTGTGTTTATCAATTGATGCATAGCTAATAAATATATACAGGTACAGCTCACAATTTAGCTTATTTTTTGTAAAACAGGAAGCACTAAAGCAAATGTACATCATACTTTGGACACAGTTGTTTGACTAAAGAGAAAATAAAGGAATAATCAAACTTTAGGATGTACGAGGTGTGTCAGAAAAGTTTCAAGGCTGGTGTCACAAAAGATATATTTCAAATACAAACTACAACTTTTCCCCTTCAGAGTAATCCCCCTGGAGTCTAACACACTTTCCCAGCCTTTTCTGCCACGCCGCCATGCACTCCTGGAAGGCCGTGAAGTTGCAGCAGCAGGCAGGTGATGCTTTAGTTTGGAGGCCTTCAGTTCCCAAAATATACATTTTTCTTCTTAAAGCTGCGTTTCTTGTGCTGTAGGAGGTTAGGTCTTGGCCAAAAGGCATCTATGCTGCACTAATTTCATGAGGAGGGACTGTTAAGAGTCCGTGATGTTCAGATGTGTACACTGTATGGCACCAGACAGTACTGGTTCTGGTCCATGAATGCTTTGGAACACAGACATTTGTGCTTTCTCATCGTTTTACTGTTTATAAAGCAGAAATCTTGAAGAGTTTTTGAAACTCTAGTTACTTAAGGGAAAACAATATAGCTGAATTAGGCAGGATTATATGATCAATGCAGCTGCTGTCTGATTCTGTCTGTCTGGTGTTTCCTGCGTCAGGCCCTCGTCTTTGTTGAAATAGTGTTTCTTCCTGCTGCAATGATTCCAGTTTGTGCTCTTGGATGAAAAGTCAGGCACCGGTTCTGATCCGTGGTCCAAATTGTTGTCGTTATTGGGAAAAAAATTGATGTTATTGGCCATTAAATCGCATGTTTTTTAAGCCAATAGTTTTGTAAAATGTAAACAAATTGGTAACTTTATCTCTAAAAGGTACAATGCTGCACTCTTTAGGTGAAAAACCAGCACTGCAGTTGTACTGCATGGTCTAAGGCACGGGTGTCGAACTCTGGTCCTCGAGGGCCGCAATCCTGCATGTTTTAGATATTTCCCTTGTTCCAACACACCTGATTCAAATGATCAGGATCGTTATCAGGCTTCTGCAGAGCTTGATGATGAGCTGATCATTTGAATCAGGTGTGTTGGAAGAGGGAAACATCTAGAACATGCAGGATTGCGGCTCTCGAGGACCAGGATTGCCCACCCCTGGTTTAAGGTGTGTAGGACTGCTGTGCTCCACCTCATTACTTGCGACTACTTTTGGTAGGTCACTTATATTATTCATGGCAATATACGAAAGAGGAAAACGGAGATTATGTGGGTTATATATATATTATGAGATACAATCTCACTGGGTCATAAATAGTCCTCAATCAGTCTGAAAGCCTACACAAAGCTATGCCATGAGTTATATGTCAATTATTGCTTCATACAATTATAGATGCATCTACTTTTATCAGTAATATTACAATTTATAAGACTGCATTATATACAGAAAAAAAAAAACTTGTATCATAGCAGTATTCAGATTCAAGTATGTTAATTTTACTACTAATAAGAAGTGATGTTTTGACTGATGTCAGTGTGTAACTAATGTGTTTGAAATTTTTGACATCTGTTATCACTTTACTAATATTTCATGATGTCTTTTAGGTAACATTTGTCATATCACGGCTTGATTTGATTCTAAATTGTTCTAAATTTCCATTTAGGTGTAAATCACCACTTTAAAAAAACAAAGAAACAAACAAAAAAAAACCAATCCCTGAGCTAATTTTCATCAGTAATATCATAAAACCTGAGTTTTTCTGTCAACACTAACACACCGGCTGTCTCACATCTGAGAAGCATCACAATGGAGCGTTTTTTTTTTTTCTGGCCCACATTTCAAATGATCGTGTAATTTATTTCCTGCAGAAGATACAACAGTCAATCATCTGGCAGAAAGGAAAATTCTGTCATTTCTTCAGCTGCCTGGAAGGTGCAAAACATGACCACATGCACAGCAGCCCGGGAGGAAAGAGCAGCGCTGCACCAATGGAAGTGAGGCAGAGACAGGTCGCTGGGCCCATCTGGATGTGGTTACGGTTGGAGCTGTTTTCTGATGATATGCGTACAAGCTATCATAAGTTATTCATGGCCGCAGTCACTCGTGGGCCCGCGGCTCCTCCGGGAAGACTTGTGGCTTCCAGTCGTCTGTGTGAACGCGGCTAAAGATGGAATTAAAAGGGTGGTGGGTGGGTCGTGTATTTGGTCCAAACAGGCCGGAGTCACCATGGAGATTGTCACGGGACACACCAGAGCACTGTCACATTTTTACAGCCGAGGACTCTTCCAGATAACCACCATTCATGAAAACACACACCAGCTACTCCCCTGTGCAGTCTAACACAATGCATTCATAGTCATTGTAATCACTGAAACAAATCCAGAAAATATTTTAATTTGTCATTTGCATTTTTGCCTTTTATAATTACAAAGCTCTTATAATGTAAAACAAGAGAATAAAACTACCAATAATATAAAAACTAGAGCAATATATACACTGTAGCTTGCACAAAATGACAGATTGAATACAAAATTACACATGCAGATCAAAATAGTTGCAGAAAATCATGCAAAATCATAATATTATGCGTTAATTTGAGTAATGTTTTAAACTGTAGATACATTTCTAAATTATTTTTGGAGTTTGCACCATCTTAACCCACATATAACACGTTTCAATTTGATCGTAATCTAGGAAATTTTCCACTTAAAGGCCTAAAAATAGTGCACATAGCTTTTAAAGTGGCTTTACATTATATATTATTCATGATATATGCTGTTATATTGGCACCTGCAAATGCATAATGGATGTAAAATGAGATAAAGCTCATTCACTCAGTCACATACATACCTGAAAGTAAAACATGTTCTGTATTTTTTTTTTGTTAAAAGAGCTAATTATGTGAGCAATCATGGTATAAGGAAAGAACTAAAAAGAAGCTTAAATATTAGAGTGTTTACCGTCTTCACATGCCTATAGTGTTTAGGATATATCAGAGTACAGTTATCTGAATGTTACAGGGCAAACTTGGTTCAAATCAAGCAAGAATTAAATGAATTTTGGGATAAAAATGAATAAGAGTCATTGTGAAAGACAAGCAGACAAACAAAACAAGATACACTTGACTTTATCAAAACGCAAATCTCAAGATCTAATTGTAAACAGTCCATAACCAGGAACAAACCTCTCAGTGGATAAAAGTGGTAAGATATGAAGTATACACATATGATGGCCTTAAAGCAAACAAAAAGAATGGGGCAAAAATTGTGATGCATAACATCCAGTCAGGGAATTTGTACTATTTGTCCTCGAGCTACGTGGGACCAGCACAGAAGGAGAGTATCAGATATCAGTCAGTCCTCATGCAGAGATACTGAGGCCCAGCCTGTGAAAGCATCCCTCACTCCCCCCCAGCTGAGTCTATCTGATGTCCTGGCAGTCTCTAGTGCTGCAGCAGCTCTCCAGTCATCAGGAACGGCAGCTTTATCTGGGTTTAGGGTTCCCAGGACTGACACAGCATCCACTTGAGATATGACAAAGAGCCTGAGCATCAGAATACTGCTGCTCTCATAACGGTGGGAGGTAAATGCCGGACAGTAGTTACATAAACGTATGTAGGGTTAGAAGCTGGCAGGACTAGAGCTGGAATAATTTAACGTTTTCATTGGAAGGAAACATATAGCTGCATTACAAATCTGTGTTTCCAATCAACTCGTATGATTTACCGCCACTGCTCTCTCTTTGTAGGTGCTATTACAGCGTTCAAAGTTTTTACATGCAGCTGCCTTTTTCTTTAAAGCAACACCTAGAATTTGTATTATCCTTATCAACTGTCCACATTTGTTTCCTAGATTTGAATCCATAGCAACATGGCTTTTGCACTAATAAGGAAAAAGTCTCCGCTTACACTAACACTCTGGCGTTTTTCATGTCTCAGCAAGCTGACTTTCATTAAAAAATACCTAGAAATTAACTAAAACCAATGGTGAGAGGATAAAAAAAATAGTATAAAAACAATCTGGTTGGAGCTGGAAAAGAAAAACAACAAAAAAACTACAGAATTGAGCGTGCACATCCGAAAAAGGTTGAATGTGAAAATCCCAGAACTGTACTTAAATTTAATTTAACAAAAAAATGTGTGAATCTAACAAAAGTTTCTATCAAATGAACATGACAAAGAACAAACAGTACGCTCTTTCAGGCATTAAATCTAAAGTTTTGATCCAATCTTATGGTTTAAAAAACATATATGATGCGTTGATAATGAAGCTTTTAAATTCAGAATGGCCTCCTTGCTTATAAATTTAGCTTTTTCCCACAGTTACATCATCAATCTCAATTTATTATCAAAGCAGTTATCTGTTTGCAGATATTCCTGCGTGTGTTGTGTCTGTTTGACTCTTTCCCGAGCAGCCATCCCTGCAGCCTCTGCGCTCTCCCTCCATGATAAGATTGCTGCCCTTTCTCAGGCTATCGCTTACAAGGCAAAAGGCCACTTGAGGAATGACACGACTGACATTAGCTGCTCTCGCCTCAGCAGTTTCTCGTTCCTCTGCAGGAGAAAACTGCTGACAACTCATTTACAGCGAAATGTCTTCAAGGTGCTTTTTTTTTTTTTTGTAAAGTTGTTTTTTTGTCAGGCTCTTAAAGTGTTGCCCTCTCAGACTGGGTGGAGCTGAGATGTTGTCGGGTCAAACGCTGGTTAGCTTGGTTTATTGTCAAATTATAATTACAGTGCTGCGGCTTTGTTTTGGAAACAGGCGGCTCATGAAGATGTTTGGAACAACCTGCCACGCAGATGCTTAGAGGCAACTTAAAATTAGCTTGATCACAGGGGAAGGACTGTAGTCACTGGGGCTGTCTCGGGCCAGAAATGTCCTAATTAGAAATAGAAACGTCTGTTGAGGTTGTGTTGGCCTCCAGCCAT